GTCGTCGTCGTCGTCGTCGTCGTCGTCGCTAGCGACAGCGACGCGCCCGTCGTCGACTGCCCTGCCGCGTCATCTTCGCCTTCGTCTTCGTCTTTTCGTCTTCGTCTTCGGCGTCGTCGTCGTCGCCGCCTTCGGGCATCATAGATACAACACAAGACCTGTTCGGGCATTTTTTATGCCTCTGGAGGTTTCTCCCTCCTCCCACATGCCTGTCTCTCCTTGACGTCGTCATCGTCGTCGTTGTAGGCGGGGGGGTTGTCATCGTCTTTCGTGAGGGGTACGGGTAGGAATCATTTGATGATCACTTGATGAGGGGGGGGGTTGGATAATCCTACACATGGCGGGGAATGATGATGATGATGATGAGGAAGAAGAGGAGGATGTTGATGATGACGACGACGCCGCCGACGATGATAAGGATGATGATGATGATGGTGGTGGTGATGATGAGGACGACGATGATGGGGGAATCTGCAACAGGGATGTAGATGTGGATGGTGATGGCGGCGGGAACAGGTATACTGATCCTTACGATGGTGATGAAAATGAGGACAAGGACGATGCTGATACTGATGATGATGCTGATGGTGAATATAACGATGATGATGATGCTGATGATGATGATGATGATGATGATGATGCTGATGCTGATGCTGATGATGATGATGATGATGATGATGATGATGATGATGATGGCGACGGTGACGATGATGGCGGTGATGATGACGGGGAGGCGCAGGAGAAAGAGAGAGAAAGAGAGAGAGAGAGAGAGAGAGAGAGCGAGAGATAATGAGAGAGAGAGAGAGAGAGAGACAAAGAGAGACGGCGAGAGAGAGGGAGAGATAGAGAACGAGCAAGAGGATAGATGGCGTGGATGCGGGTGAGGAGGATGCCGATAACAGGGAGGGTGAAAAGGAAGTGCCGCAGCATGATGACAGACAGAAAGACGGAGGAGGGCGAAGAGGATGAGAGGAGCAACCACGAGAACAAAGGCGAGGAAGGGGGAGGAGGGCGAGGAGGAGGAGGAGGAGAAAGCTACGGAGGAGCTCACAGAAGCCCCACGATCCCTCCGAGACCCTCCTGGAAGCCCCCGCTCCCCTCCTCCCCTCCCCTTTTTTTGGGCCGCAGGGGAGGCATCGGGGAAGGAGAAGCGGGACGAGGGAGGAGGAGGTGGAGGAGGAGGAGGTGGAGGAGGAGGAGGAGGAGGAGGAGGAGGAGGAGCAGAGGGCAGACGAGGCGGGGGGCGCCCGAGGGAGGAGGAGGAGGATCCGAGGGAGGCGTGCGAGTCTCCAAGCTTGGCGCTCTTCGACCCTCGAGGGCCGAGCGGGGGCCCGGCTTTCGGACGTCCCGGGTCCTCGGTCGGGCCTCTCCGGAGGGCTCTCTGGGGGCCTCTGGGGCCTGGCAAGGAGTAGGAAGAGAGAAGGAGGAGGAGGAGGAGGAGGAGGAGGAGGAGGAGGAGGAGGAGGAGGAGGAGGAGGAGGAGGAGGAGGAGGAGGAGGAGGGGGAGGAAGGGCCCCCTCAGAACTTTAATATAGGGGCTCCGCCATGTAGACACCGCCCTTTAGGTAGGCAGGAGGCAAGGGGATGTCTCCCTGGGTCGGGGCCCGGGGCGGGAGCAGCACCTCTCGGCGGGACGAGTGCGCGGAAGCACGATCGGTCCCAGAACCCCAAGGAGCACGACCCAGTCCAGCAACGCTTCCTCCCCCCCTCCCTCCCTCCCTCCCTCCCTGCCTCCATCCTCGGCCTTCGTGAGGAAGGTGAAGGGCAGAGAAGGAGAATACGTAGAAGGGCTCCATACATGGATGTATGGGCACATGCCTGGATCATGTGGTTGAAGATGATGACGATAAAGAACGCATGCAATGAAGATCATGATGGCGATACTGGTGACGACGATGATGGACGAGGTGGACGAGGTGAAGACGCAGGATGATGAGGAGAGTGACGAGGACGAGGACGAGGACGATGCTGCTGCTGATGGTGGTGGTTGTGATGATGCTGTATGCTGCTGATAATCATGATGATGATGGTGGAGATGATGATGATGATGATGATAATGATGATGATGCTGCTGCTGCTGATGATGCTGATGATGATGATGATGATGATGATGATGATGATGATGATGAGAACTGGGGATATTCAATCATGATAGTGAGGGCAAGGAGGATGTCCTGGATGAGAGGGCTGGCAAAGGAGGGAGAGGAAAAAGAGGAGGATGAAGGATCATTTGGACGATGGAGGAGGAGGAGGCCGAGGAGGAAACGCTGGAGTAGGAGGAGGGGGAGTGTGGACGAGGCCAAAGATGGAACAAAACGACAAGGACGAAAACGGCGGCGGAGACGAAACCGATAACGACACAAGCGGCGGCGGCGGCGGCGACGACGACGGCGACGATGCCGTCCCGCGATCCTCTCTGGGCTCGTCGGACTCTGGCCGGGGCGAAGGCGGCTCCGAGCTGGTCGCTGCCCCTGCGGTGGTGGGTGGGGTCGGCTGGCACCTCGCGGAGGATGGGGGAGGATAGGGATGAGGAGAGATGAGGGAGGGGGAAGGAGGAAGGGCGAAGGGGAGGAGGACGGGGAGGAGGGAGGAGGGAGGGGGCGAGGAGGAGGAGGAGGAGGACGAGGAGGAGGAGGAGGTGAAGGAGGAGGATGAGGAGGAGGAGGAGGAGGAGGAGGAGGAGGAGGAGGAGGCATGGGATGGAATGGAATTGAATTGGATGGGATGGAATGTCCTGACGGGGAGAGTGCACAGCGCAAAATATCGGGCTCTAGCCCGAGTTACCTGCCTCGAAGAGAAGCCTCCTCGTCACGAATCCTCTCCAGAAGAGCGGACGTCCGCACCTCGTGTGAAAAAGGGGGCTGCGTGGGGACGGGGAGGAGGAGGAGGGGGAGGAGGAGGGGGAGGACGAGGAGGAGGAGGGGGGGAAGGAGGAGGAGGAAGAGGAGGGGGCGCCAGCTACAGGTCAATTGACTATACTGTGAGGGGGATGACAGAGGGAAATGGAGAGGGAGGATGATGATGAGGAGGAGGATGAGGATGAGGATGAGGATGAGGATGAAGAGGAGGAGGAGGAGGAGGAGGAGGAGGAGGAAAACGAGGAGGATCAGGATGAGGATGAAGATGAGGAGGATGAGAGGAGCAGGAGAAATATGATGAGGATGAGGATGTCAATAATATGAAATTGTGGAGGGAGGAGGACGATGAGGATGAGGGTGAGGATGAGGAGGAGGCGGAGCAGGAGGGGGAGGGCGGAAGGAGGAGGAACGAGGGAGGAGGGAGGAGGGAGGAAAGAGGGAGGAGGGGGTTAAGGAGTTTCGGATATTGCGACCATGTCGGTTACGATTAAGCTTCGCCCGCTCAAAGGAACCCGGAGAGATTGCGAAGCAATACGTACATGAACACTCCCCCCCTCCACGACGGGGGCCGCGATGACCAGGAAGCCCCGCGCCAGGATAGAGTAGCCGTTCACCATATTGCGCGAGACGCTCATATCCCTCCAGCTGTACATGTCCAGGGGCGAATGCGGAGCCCGAAAACAAGGTGAATTGAAACCGCAAGAGCGCCTCTTAGATCAAACAAACAGCGAATATACAGTCCCACAAACAAGAATAAGCAAACCATATGCATTGCTTGCCCCGTGGGCCTGGGCCAGGCTCAGCCGAAATATAAACGAGCCCCCTTCGATGCCGTGAAGAAGAACCCGACCCTGGCAGTGGCCCGAACCAAATGCCCGAGCGAAAAGATCCACCCTTCTCCTCCAGCACCGCGACGACCCAGAAGAGGAAGCCGAACGCACGAAGGTGGAGGTGTGGCCGAAAGACTTCAACTCTGCTTGCAATCCACCGATCCCGATCCCTGACGTAGGGCATCAGCGTCTCGGAGGAGCCTCGCACGCTCGGTACCAGTTGCCCATCACTCGGCATCCGACTGGGCAGGGGCAGTCGCCGCCGTCGCCGTCCCGAGCTCGTGCAATAGCGCGCCCGCGTCCGCGACTGCACCTCCAGCGCGAGCATCCGTGAAAAGGGGGCAGCGATGAGGGTGGCGAAGCCGCGCGCCTCCGCCAGGGGGACGAACCCACGCCTGCGCCGCCCCCTTGAGCCTCGCGACCCGCCTGGCCGCCAGGGACTCCAGCGTCAGGCCGCGCTGCTGGCTGCGCCAGTCGTGCGGCCAACCGGAGAACCACCGCCTCCAGGGAGACCAGCGACGGCCGGAGCAGTAGCATGAACTCGAGGAGGGCGATCGTCGGCATGGCCGTCGGCACCAGCAGCATGAACTGAAACTCCATCCGCAACTCCGCCCCTCGGGGCTGGCGCAGGCGGCGCTGCCGACGCATCCTCGGCTCCGAGCTGCTCCTGCTCGGCGTCGGGGTCGATCGCATCGGCCTCAGCCTGCGCCGCGCGGCTGCGGGCCCGTGTCTTACTAGCCGCGGGGCGTGCGCTGAGCCAGAGACAGACCTCCGCGCGGCCGTCGGAGAAGCGGTGGCCACGGCCCACCACGACAACGTATCCAGCCTGCTCCTCGAGGGCCGACAGGGCGCTGAGAAGCGCGGCCCGCGCCGTGGGCGACGTGCGCGGCCGCGCTGGGTCGACGGCCACGTTGACCTTGCCGCGGCCCTCGAAGGCGGCGGCTCCGAAGGTGGGGTGCGCGGCGACTCCGGCGACGATCTGATCGCGCAGCCAACGGAGGCGCGCGTGGACCACCATGGCCCGAGGGAAGCGCAGGGGCGCTGAGGAAGTAACGGGAACAAGCAAGGGCTCGAGCGAAACGGTTACTGGAGGGAGGAGGGAGGAAGGAGGAGGAGGAATTCGCTGGAATTCGCTGATATCCACGGGGTGGCAGCGAGCCCAGCGATCATCGATCAGCGCGCCAGGCGGCGGGTCACGGAGGACGGCCTCGCACCTGACAGTGCCCAGCTCACGGGCCTGAGTCGTCTTGGGCGGCCCCGCGTGACAAGGGAAAGGCCCCTTTAGAATTCGTTGCTGGTTTTCAATGCCTTTCTTGGTGCGGGCCTCGCATTCGGCACGTAAATGACGCGGGCCCTCCGTTGCAGGTTTCCCGCGCGCCAAACAAAAAATGCAGCCCAAACTTGGGCCATAAGTGCAGAACATGCGAGGAGTGATGCACCTTCTCCCCAACGGTAGCCGCCCCACTGGCCCGCGCCACCCCGTGATCGGCCAGACTCGAATGGTCCTGGCTCGCCGCTTGGCGCGGAGTTGCTGCAGCGGCGGCAATATTATGCGCGGATGCGACTTGGTGACGCAGCGAGCACGGCCACTTACGTTCGGCCCTGACCAAACAGTGCTCGCTGCGAACCAAGGCCTCGGTGGGGCCCTCAACGCGACCAGCCTCGGGGGGCCGCTCGGCGGTCCAGGGGGCGACGCTGGTGGGGTCCACCGTGGCCTTGGCCGCGCGGCGCCTAACCAGCGCCGCCGTGCAATCCCGCGGATCAGTATCGGGGGGCCGTTGGCCCTGAAGGCCATAGGTCCAGGAATGGCCGCGCCCCCAGCCAGAGTGTCGGCAAGGCCGCTGACCGTGGCGTGCAAGCGCTCCTGAGGGGAGAGGGCGGGGCCCTCGGGGTCAACGTGCGGCGGGTACCTCGCGACTTGGACTCCGCCCTTTCCTCTCTCGGCCAACGCGGCGCGGACGCGAAGCCAGAGGTTCGAGTTGGGGCCTTTGCAATTCTCGTGCCTTCTGGAAAGCCACTCTCGATGTAGGGCCGCATTGTCCGTGGCAAAGCGCATCGGGCCAGGGAAACGGCGAAGCGCGAGTTCAAGGGCGCGGATCTCGGCTCCGGGCGCCGTTTGACGGCGACCTCCAAGGGTCGTGGCAACGCCGCGGGTCCGCAGCCAGCCCCCTGAGGCTGGCTCCAGAGTTATCGCGGCCGCGCCCGCTCTTCGGCGACGAGGATCGCTACTGAAGTGCCCGCCTGAGCCGCCAGCGAAGACAAGAAGGCCGCCCTCTCTGCAATCGAGAGCGGCCCCGTGCACATCACCCCCCCCCACTCCACGCCCCCCCCCCCCCGCCCCGAAAGTTAGGGCAAGTGAGGGGGCGAGGCGGGGGCCCGCGCAGCCAGAGACTCGGGTTGGCCTTGTGGCCGACGCGGGCCTGGGAAACCACGCGCTCGGATTTTCCATGGGCGGGGTCATCCTTCTTGCAGGGGGCACTCTCGAATCCGACGGAACAGGGTCTCCTCTGGGGCCCCGCGTCGCGGGCGCTTCAAGGACACGGAATACCCATCGCTCGCGCTGCCTCTGACGAGGCCACTGGCCTCCAGCAGCGACCGTGACCATCTGGCCAATCTGATCGAATGCGTCCCGTTTCAGGAGACGTTAGAGCTGGGACCGACTGGCCGACGCGTCCGTACCTGGGACAAGATCGTCCCCCTGTGCTCATGTTTTGCAGCCTGCTGCCGCTGCTGGGCTTTGAGGTCCTCAACAAAAGCGCTGACCAACTCCGCTATGTCGAAATCGCCTGCGACACGGCCAGCAGCAATGTCAGGAAACTGCCAAGTTCCGAAATTGTCTGGCTCGATCGGCCTTCGCCATTCCGTGGGAGAAATCGGCCGCCAACCCCCGTCTTGAAGGGTGGCGATCACGGCCCCCATAGGCCCTCGGACTTTCCGCCACCGAAACTTGGGGTCGTGCCCGAGGCGCGCGGCCACCACTGGCCAGGCTTTCCAGATTCGAGGGTGGAGGGAGGGGCACTTGTCCCAGAGGTCGAGCCAGGAGCGGACCAGCTGGGTCCTTAAACTGATTCCAGGATCCTTATCCCCACATCAAATCGCCAGAGTGGTGGTAAGGCATCGCCCTGGGCCCTTGCCAACCATAGCTTGGGCTGCTTGCCTTCTTAACTGAAGGATCGGGGATCGGGAGAGTCCCATCGCCTAGTGCTCATACACCGATTGAGGCACGGCCCCTTGCAGCCACAGGCCTTGGAATGCCTTGGCAAGAAACGCATGCTTACGAAGTTAATTGATACGAACACCTCTGGAGCGGCCCTTGCTCAGACGCTGGTTAAGCTTGATGCGCGACCGACGCGACCCCCCCGCCACATCACACCCTAAAGCAACCGCATTTTTGACGAGCGAGGCCGGCATCCCCAGACTGTTAAACTTGTTCAAAAGCTCGGGTCCCAAGCCTGAGGTGTTGACCACTAACTTGGTCTTGGATGAGATCGGGAGCTCCTGATCCGCGAACGACTGCACAAACAAGTCAGCGAGCCCCGAAATCTGGCCAACAACGTCGGCCCACCTCCCTTCGGACCGAGCAACAGTGTTATCTACAAACGTCCAGATGGCAGACGAGGCCGGGAGGGAGGAGGAGGAGGAACAGGAGGAGGAGGCGGAGCAGGAGGAGGAGGCGGAGGAGGAGCCAAGGGGGAGTCAAAGGGGTGTCAAGCGGGGAGTCATGGGAAGCGTCGGGGGGGAAGGCGGCGGACGGCCCTTCTACCAAAGATATGATCCTCCGCGCGCGCCTGCCATAGCTGTGCGCCGATCGG